CTAGCCAGAAGGTTATGCCAATTAACCTGGCACTAATTATCATCAGCAGAAAACAAAAACTCTGAAAAAATAAAATACTGTCTCTTGAGAAAAAGATTGTATTTGATTTTGTATGTGTTTTTTGTAATATGATAGGTAATAATGTATGTAAATATGGTAAAAAGGTTTTCTTTTATTTGGAGGTTGCTTATATAGGTTTTACTCAATAAAGCAAAGGGTTTAATCGAAGAGGTTTTTGCCACTCCCAAAGCATCCACCCCTCTAGGGAAAGTTAATCGACCCCTTGCACCCTGCAGAAAGCTAAGATGGACTCCTCTCCCAGGAAGAGATTCTTGCTCACTGTTTACTGTCTACTGTTCATGTCATTACCAAAAAGGAAATTTTTTACAAATTGAAAAGTTGTGGGCTTATAATATTTTTTTTAAATAAACAATAAGCCATATTAAAAAAATTTTTTTTGAAAAAAGAAGAATAATAATTAAATATAATATTTTATAATATAAAAATACATTATAAATTGACTACTATTAAAGTTAATATAAATTATTTGTTATTTAAAAAAACAATTCATATAAATAAAAATGATTAAAGAAAACAAGTAATTTTTGTAAAGTAAATATTTAAGTAATCAATTGTTTTGCCGGCCAGCATTATCAATAGGTAAATCAATTTTCCAATAAATCTGCCTAGATTCACATTTAGCATCGGATTTTCATCAGAAAAAAAAAATTTTTTTAAAGGGACTTCATTCGTTCTGCTGTTCTCAGAGTTCGACAAACGAACTCAATGTTGATGGTCTTTTACATATTACACACAAGACCTTAACCTTCACTTCACCTCCACTTTATGTTTATGGTTTATTCTCACTCAAAAAAACTTGGGGCTCAGAGCTATAGTTCAAATTCAACAATGAAACGCAGTAACGATTACGGTAATCAAAGTCACGATAATATAAAAAAGCCACGTTTCGGAGGACAAGGTTACAACGGTAGCGGTTATTCTTTGGCAGGAGGGATGAGAAGTGACCTTAATCAAGGATCCTCAAGTGATTTATATTATCCAAATCCACCTGTAGGTCCGTCTTCAATGATGGGTAATCCCACATACTCTCAAAGTGCTGCGGGTTTCCACCATCATCCTGGTCATTCAAGCGGTCATTTTGCTGGTATGAACGTGTATCCAACTCCCACACAATATGCATCCATGAACCAATATACTTCTAACGTTAGTAGCATGGTTCCCCCATTCACAAGTGCTTTTTCCGGCGCGCAGTATCCATCATCTTATCAACAAACAGTTGTACCTAACGCAACTGCTAACGCTACAGGTCGTACCGTTTATCTCGGAAATCTTCCCCCAGACGTACATTTTGAGGAGATGCTAAATCATGTTAAGGTTGGCCCAATAGAGTCTGTTCGGGTCCTCAACGATAAAAGTTGTGCATTTATTTCATTCATGGATGGTGCAGCTGCTATGGCATTTTATCAAGAAGCATCAAGCCGAAAGATCGTTCTACACGGTCAAGAGCTCAAAGTTGGTTGGGGAAAACCTTCACCTGTCCCAGGAAACGTTCAAGTGGCAGTTACTACTCAAAGTGCCACGCGTAACGTATATTTAGGGAATTTGGATGAATCAATAACCGAAGCAACCTTACGCGAAGATCTGAGTAAATACGGAACTCTTGAACACGTCAAAATTGTCAGAGAAAAAAATATTGGATTTGTTCATTTCTTGAACATTGCTAGTGCTATGAAAGCTGTACAGATGCTTCCTACTGAGCCTAAATACGCCAACAAGAAAGTCAATTACGGAAAGGATCGATGCGCTCAAAGAACAGGGATAGGAAATGGAACTGCCACACAATACGCGTTCCCAGTTAGCACTATTAACTTCCAGAGTTTTGGTAACGCTGGATTTGGATTTGATCCTTATCATGCCGCTTCTGTTACTGGCACTGGTCACCTTGATAACGGTACAGAACTTCGTAGCCCTACAAGTCCATTGTTTTCCTCAGCTTCTTCCGCGGCAGGCAGCACGACTTCTGGATCAACCGCTAATAACCGTACTATTTATCTTGGGAACATTCATCCAGACACCACGTGTGAAGAAATTTGTAACGTAATTAGGGGTGGCATTCTTCAGCAAATTCGATATTTACCTGAAAAGCATATAGCTTTTGTCACATTTGTTGATCCCAACGCAGCCAATACGTTCATGTTCATCGCGCAACAAACTGGTGTGGTGGTTAAGAATCGCCGTCTTAAAGTTGGATGGGGAAAAAATCCAGGGCCTTTGTCTGCTCACGTTCAAATGGCTGTAAATACCCAAAGTGCATCTCGCAATGTGTACGTAGGTCAACTAGATGAGAGCATGACCGAAGAAAAGCTTAAGCGAGATTTTGCAGAATATGGAGATATTGAATTGGTGAATATTCTTAAAGAAAAGAATTGTGGATTTGTCAATTTCACGTCTATCCTTTCAGCTATGAAAGCTATTGAGGGAATTAAGTTAAAGGAAGAATACAAAAAATTCCGCATTAACTTTGGTAAAGATCGATGTGGCAATCCCCCAAGGGGCGTTACCGGACTCAACAACGGAACCGGAAGTAAGACGAATAAAGGGCGAAATAACGGGGAATCCGATGCTCGAGTCCTTCACGCTGGCGATTCCGAATCTGACGGTAGGAATATCGATGGCGGCGAAGACGACGGTGGGGATGGGGAAGGCGACGAAGAGTAACGGGTGAGATTATAATTATCTCTTCGAATACCTTAGCAAATGTCAATACATATTGAGCCGTCTTTGATTTTGTGGCATTTAGACAAGAATCGATTTATAGCCATAATTCCTAAATCAACGATGTTTTTATTGATAGATATGTTTATCATTTATATTTCTTTGTAGCTATTTTTTTCATTATTCCCTTTTGTTATAAACGAAATTGAAATGTTAAAAAGTTGATTTATTCTCTTTTCTTATATATATTTTATGAAGATTTGTTAAGAAATATTATATTTCTTGTCATGTTTATTTGATCTATTTTGGTTAATGGGTGATATAATTTTTTTTTTTTTAATTATTGTATAATGAGTGGTGTGGCATTTGGACTTCTATCTTCAATGTTGGACTATGTTTATTCTCGTTAATTTTTTTTTTTTCCTTTAAAAAAAAAAAGGTTCCTTTTGATCACGTATGATCTCAAATATTGATTCCCTTTGTTCTTACCCAATTTTTTAATGGTTATTGATAATTTTTATTGGATAGGACGGTTAAGACTTCTAAATATTTATTTGATTTCGCTCCAATATTATTATTTTGCCGTCCTACCTTCCGGATAATTTTGTTATTACTCTTTAGTCTTTAAGTGTCTCGTTTTCCTGTATCTAATTTCGCATCCCTTCTTAAGTTCTTGATACACATACATCTCCTTTACCCTGGTGACTTGATGCCAGAAAAAAAAAAACTCTTTTGCGCCTAAGTCGTTCTATTTAACATACAGCCCTAATTGGTCTTATATTACTAAATTTCTTTTGAAGTGTTACCGAAAAAAATTGTTGAGAACAAAAAAGAGCACGCCAACCCTTTTTTTGGCTTCAAATTATTCAATTACTAGATGCAATATTTAAGACCTTTATCCTTATTTCTAAATCGGATGAATTTGCCAGATACCTCCTATACGTGTAATCTTACATATAACTTATACAATTTCAACCCATTTTTATCGAATTTTGGTAGAAAGAGGAGGTTATTTTTTCATGCGGTTTCTGGTAGTCAAATATTGAACGTATCGTAAATCCGATATTCTAATTACTAACATTAATTTATTCATTTTATTTCGTAAGCCAGCTTTAAGTTCACCATTAAGCTTCTTCGACCGGCAATGAATATTTATCAATCTCCTCGAAATATCGAATGCGATCTTTGAGTTCTCGCTCCGCAACCTAAATTGTGGATTGGAATATCAAGGAAAAAATTAAGTGTTGATTTGTGAATTCTGTTCCGATCAATTGATTTTACTACCTCATCTAGTTCGTCATTCGTATTTATTCTCTTTTTTGCTTTTTTTTTCTTCTTATTTCTGCCTCTCACTGTTTTCGGGTGCTCATTATCTTCACAATCTAATGCTCTTCCTTTTCCTTTGTCCTCATGTGCCACATGCCTGCGTCGTGGTAATAGATCTAACAAATCGCTTGTCTTGATTACAGTCGGTTTATTTCTTTGTTGGTCGTTTGTCCCTGTTGTGTCTTTTTCGGGAGTTTTTGGTGATGACAAATCAATTTTATCTTTCCCTTCGTTTTCACCATTTGATTCTTCTTTCTTTGTTTTCCGAGATTTTGTTGACCCTTGCTTTTCGCTTACTGAATCTAAAAGAAGATCATTCGCCTCATCGGCGTCCAGGTCATTATCAGTAATCTGTATAATGCTTCGTGGATCTTCACGACAATCCGCTCCAATGAGTTGATTGTCATCCTGGGCGATTTCGAAGATTTCGAATTCACCAGGATGATGGTTTTCTTCATAATTTCCGTCTTCGTCGTGATCCTTTAACGAACGAGTATTTCTTTTTTTAAAATAACTCTTGACTTTCCTTTCAGCCTTTACGAATCCAAAGGGGTCCTCTTCACTGCTGTCCAAGTCAGTAGATGAAAGTTCTGTTGTTTGCTGTTTCAGTTTCAGTGGATTAAAATCGCTCTTTGAGAATGCATTCAAGTAATGCTCCAAATCTTCGGTTTGCATTGATTCTTCTGGACTTTCATTCTCTTTGCTTTCCGATTGTTCATTAATAAGAATTTTCTCGCGATTAACCTTGTCGTAAATTTGAAAAAAATTTTCAAATTGAGACTCTTCAGAATCACAGTTTCCCTTTTTTGAGGGCGACAGACTTTTGTTTTTCTCTACAAGTCATGTATTAATTGATTAAAAAAAACCTTCTATTGTAACCAAAGAAAAAATTAATCTTATAATTAATAAAAACCATTTTTCAGCAAATCATTTTTGTCGCACAACACTGTTTTTTTGACGGCTCTTGGAGGTCGTGGCATGTGTTAATTAAATGACAAGTTCTTGCTGAACGCGAATCGCGACTTAATACCAACTTACGGTTTCGGCCAATCAAATTTCACGCTGATCCTTCACTCATCCCTAATGCCAAATTCGCATCAAATGTTACACAGATACAACAAGATCGAAGAAAAATACTGATAAATAAACTTTAACGTTACAAAGCTTCTTTAACTATTTACGAATTAAACATTACTCTAAAAAGAATTTCTACATAATATGACATCCTACGACGATCAAGTGGCTGCATCGCAATACGCACAATACGCGGCTGATCCATCTCCTGGTATCATATTCAATCATTTCAGTCTTTACCTTTGAATAGACTTAGTGAAAACCTTCTGTCAACTGCACGAAGGAGCTTCACTCGAGTCGATAGGCAGCACAGAGTAACTAACGACCTCGTTTTCTCAACTAGCTCCAACGAATGGGGTGACAGCACAGACTCCCGTCGAAGAAAGCGCCGCAAGTTCCGAAGCACAACCACAACAGTCTGATCTAGAACGTTATTGGGATATTGTCAAGTCTAATCCGGATGTAAGTCCATTCAATAGCGCACTGCATTATCCCAAGATAACTTTTCCGTATTTAAGAAGTTGAATTGATTTATGGTAGGACTTTACGTCGTGGGAGTATTTAATACGCGTTGCAGAAACTGCGGAAGGTGGTCTCACGGCGCAATCCCCACAGGAAAATATAACGAATATGCGCAATGTTTTTGACCAATTCTTGGCAAAATTTCCCTTGTGCTTTGGTTATTGGAAAAAGTACGCGGATTTCGAGTTCAACGTTCAAGGTCCGGTGGAGGCAGAAAAGGTGTGTGCGAACAACCTTTTCCCAAAATCATTACAATTATCAATGGTTTAACAAATACTTCAATTTCTCAGATTTACGAGCGCAGCGTTGCTGCCATAGCGAACTCGGTTGATCTCTGGACACAATATTGTGCCTTTAAGATTGAACATTATCCGGATAATGTGGAAGAGATTCGAGGGTAGGTTTACGCCATAGTTTGATGACTAAAAATTTTTCTGTTCTTTTGTATTGTTTTCCCGTTTCGTATTTGTATTAGTTTGTTATTATACACATTCCACTTCTTATGCTCCAAAGTAAGGCAGAGTGGGCTCAGATAAATTCCGAATGAAGGCGAAGTGATGTGTTATTGATGTTCTTTCGACTGTTATCTTTGTTTTGTAACATTTTGTGCTATAATTGTTACCAAGTTTTTACTTGTACAAGTAACAGCGAAGGATCAAAGGAGATGATAGTCTACCAGTGATGACTCAAGGGTATCCGACGGTGAATTTACGTCCCTTAATCACTTCTTACTTCTTAATTATTTCAAGGATCGGATCTATTGTAATCTAAGTTATAGCTTTTGAATTTTTACCGCTCGTTCGTTTTTTTCTTTTCTTTTGGCAAGGCATTGTTCTTTACAGGCACGAGACATCATTTGTCGACATCTGACTATATCGTTTACCGTTTACAATAGGTTGTTTGAACGCGGTGCTTCCTGTGTGGGTCTTGACTTTTTATCACACTTGTTTTGGGACAAATACATAGAGTTCGAAAAATCTAGGCAGGCCTACGATAAGGTTTTGAAGATCTTGGAAAGAATCATTCGAATTCCTATGCATCAATATGCAAGATTCTTCGATGAGTAAGTTGATTATAACCCTTTCTTCTCAATGTCACAATCAAAAAATGTTTTAAAGCCCTTCTTTATTTTTGATTGGTCAATTGTAAGTTTTACAAACTTGTGTGGGACACGACCAATAAATGAATTGATCTCGCCTGAACAACATCAACAATTTGAGGAGGAAGCGAGAGCTGCACCTCCTGCACCTCCCGCTGAAGGGGCGGAGGGTGAGCAACTTCCTTCCACAGAAAAAGTGCGGTTTGGTCATTGACATTTAATTAAACCAGGCAATGAGCATTTGATCTAACATTTCTATGTAATATTTTTCTTCTATCTGTAGACGGAGGAACAGATTCAAAATGAAATTCGGACACGCATTTATAATTTAAACGTCGACGTCTACATGAAAACTCAGGCGGAAACAAATAAACGCTGGATATTCGAACAAGAGGTAATGATGAATTTCTGAATTTGTGAAGTAAATTATATACTTGAATTTGTGAGGATTAAACGAGTTCACGCCAACCTTTTACAGATCAAGAGACCTTACTTTCACGTAAAGGCTATGGATGACGTTCAACTGATAAATTGGAGAAGATATCTTGATTTTGAGGAGAGCGAAGGAGAAGAAATGCGAGTTCAGGTTCTATACGAGAGATGCTTGGTCGCGTGTGTGAGTGATTATGTTATTATTTCAGAATTTCTGATGGATTGTATCATACTTGAATAGCCAATATTCATAATCAATCGTTAGGCCCTGTATGAAGAATTTTGGCTACGATATGCTCGTTGGATGGTTTCAAAGGATCGAATTTCTGATGCCCGAAGTATATATGAAAGAGCAATAAATGTTTTCATCCCAATGAGGTATGCGCGCTTTATTCATGCAGACTTGAAATTATTTGAAAAGAATGTGTGTGTGTGTTTTTTTATTTTGACTATTCTATTAATTTCTTATAGTCGTCCAAACATTCGTACCTCATATGCTTGCTTTGAAGAACAGCAGGGCAACATCGAAGATGCCAGATTAATTTATAAAACGATCTTGAATTCTAGTATGCTTAACCTTTTTTTTTTTTGGTTTGATTAATTGCAACGTAATTTTAATCGTTCTTTCGCAATTAAGTGCCAGGTCATGTAGAAACGATAGTGAAGTATGCCCATTTTGAAAGACGACGCCAGCCAAGCAACTTGGATTTTCCCATTGAAATCATTACATCTGCGCAGCAAAACCCTGAATTAGATGATAAGTCAAAAGCATTCCTTTCGGTGCAACACGCAAAAATCCTATGGCATGTGAGTATTATTCTTCGTCTTTATTCCTCGAAGCAATGTGCGAAATAACAATCAATAAATTGAATTTGAAAATAGAATAAAGGCCTGGTGGAAGAGGCACGCAAGATTTTTCAACAAGGCTCACATAAATATCTGGAGAGTAAATACTTCTGGCTGAATTATTTTAACTTTGAATTATCTCAGCCTGGTCAGTATGAACAAAACTGATTTAATGAGTTATTGCTTGGTTCTTAACCAACGCTATTACCATTATAGATCCCGTCGCGGAAACGAACCTGAGAGAGATTTATGACCTGATTCGTAACACCGCAATACTCCCACCAGAATCGATACGAGACTTTTCATATCGTTATCTTGATTTTCTTATGGAGCGTGGTCTGACGATAGCTTCGTACAACAAGATCGATGTAGAATCAAATGGACCGGTTGCTATTCGTGTTGCCTTAGATACAAAGAAACGCGGTTCAGAAGACGACCCCGAAAAACCTGCGAAGCAAGTGAGAATGGATGGTGTTGTTGACAGTGCTTCTATCGCAGGCACACCTGTAGTAGCAGCTACACCTTATGCTGCGCCCGGCGGGGCGCAACCCCCTTATTATCCTCAAGGTCAATGGGGCACACCCGGATACACTGCATATCCTACCACTAACACTGCTCAACAGGTAGGGATTAACGATCTGAATGCCCTTTCCTGATTTGAAATTAAATAAGAAAATCTTTCTCCTAGACGCCTTATCCATACCCATACCAATATCCCCAGACGGCGGCGTCCACAGCAGCCAATCCAGCACAAACACCAGCGACCACATGGGATTACACGCAGCAAAGTGCAACAGGATATTGACCATGGGAGCTCAATTTGTTTTTCCGCGTTTTTTATTTTCTAGCTTCAATTCTTTGTCCGCTAATCATAAAATTTTAGATGGTTATGTTTGGTCGGACAGAGACTAGTGATTACTCATTCATTAGTCATTTGTCTTGTTCGATTTTACCTATTATCATCTAATCTCTATTTGACTATCTTCTAACAAACGAAAGGTAGCAGCAGACTACAGTTGAAAATTTTTATTTTAAGCCATTAGCTCTGGACAAAGCTGAATGAATTATATTGGATGGAAGAAATGGAAAGTTAATATTATTTTTATTATTATTTTGGCAGCACCATTTTGACGGGGTACAGTATATTCAAATTAATCTTGCATTTGTAAATTTTTAATTCGAATATCATTCGCTTTTTTTTTTTTTGTTTTTTTTTTTTTTTTTTTGCCATGTTCTTTTCCCAATGTGCGGCGTAAAGTTTTCAGAACAATCTCAAAATTTTTGTCGAACGCTGTAATATTTTTCTGAAAGCTTCACATTGATGGTGATTTCATAAATATTGTTTCGAGTCTGAACAATGTTATCGTTATCAAGCAAGCCTTGATAGGGGGCAATTATAAATACAAAATCGACAACTTTGAAATAGTTAAATTTCCAAAAGGAGTTTCGGGCTTTCACATAACCTAAAGTAACTAATTTTTATTTTTGCAAAATTTACATATTTTTTTAATGGATTTATGAAAATGCTTGATTGAGAAGGTTCTATATTTGCTAGACTAACGATTAAACTTCTTTATTACGATATTATATATACCCTCGCAGCTCTATTAAATCTACACCACATTATTCTATGTAGAATTAAAAAATAAATTGTGTACGACATAATCTTAATGTTCAGACTTTTGACTCATCCAATTCCATATTGTTAATTTGTTCCTCTGCGCTGATTTGAGCAAGTGCATCGTTCTTTTGGTCTCTGATTTCAGAAATAACTTTGAAAATAGCCCCTTTCTCTTCTTGAGCAGCCGCAGTACCAACTTTCGCAAAAGCCTCCTCACTCCTGTCCATAAGTCGCACCAAATCAGCTCTGGGAATTATTTCATCTCCATGCTGCGCCATTTGCACCTTTTCGGTATCTTCGGATGCCAATATCTCGGCTAATTCTGCCAGACTTGCCATCGGCGTCTCTCGGGAAGTGGGTAACTTGAATTTACCTTTGTGAATTACCAACTTTTCCAACTTTCTCTTGGCAGTAGCTTTCTCTATTAGTTTGCCTTCTATCGTATTACCAGTGACTAGACGATAAATTATCACAGGTTTTGTTTGACCAATACGGTGAACTCGATCTTGAGCTTGTAGATCCATTTGAGGATTCTAATAAAAAAATGTACGGAGGTAAAAAATATTGTTTTCATAAAATATATATTTTTATATCGAACCTACCCAATCGCTATCATAAATGATGACAGTATCTGCACCGGTCAAATTGATACCCAAACCGCCAGCTCGTGTAGACAAAATAAAAAGTTTAATCTCGGGATTCGTGTTAAATTCTTGAATCTAGTATCGTAGTTATGGTAAGTACGCATATTCATATCCCAAATTGTTAGCTCGCTAAGGTATTAGAGAAATTTTTTGTTACAATACCTGTTGTCGCCTGTCATCCTGACTCACCCCACCATCAATTCTGCATAACTTCCAACCTTTGAACGTTGTAGCCCAATCTTCAATGATATCGAGCATCGTAGTAAATTGAGAAAATACTAAAACTTTGTGATCGTGTTCAAACAGTGCGGTGAGCAATTTTTCTAAGAGCATCATCTTCCCCGATGTTGCGATCAAATCATTCGAGATTATTGGCATATCGGTCGAAGGATCAACGGGCCAATCGAATAAATAGGGATGATTGCAGACCTTACGAAGTTGCATCATGGCGTTTTGTAAACTCATGCAATTAATGGATTTAACTGAATAATAATTTAAAAGGAGAATTATTAATACAACCCAAAATATCGATGAGCATCAAAACTAAAAAAAAATAACAGAATCGATTTAATTAAGTAAATTAAGAAAAATAGTTAGTTTGAAATTGATTTAGTACCTGCTCTTTTGGTCTTCTCTTCCTTTTCAACCTTGATGGCATTTTTCAAAGCCAATTCTTTGTCTTCTTCTGGTTTTTTATCTGCCTCCAAGGATTCGAAAAACTCGGAATCAGAAACTTCTCTGTACTTCTTCCTAGGTAATCCTCGTAATCTCTTTTTACTTTCAGCACTATCTTCATCTTGATTTGCATCACCTCTTTCTGCCTCGGATGGGGAGACCATCATGGATTCTAAAGCGTTATAAAACTCGTAATATTAATGACAATAATTGAGAGGGAAACCGCGAAAGGTATGAATAGCATATTTGCCGACCTTCATCTTCCATGTACTCAGGTATATTTTCATTTTCTCGACTAAGCCTTTTGGCAAGTAAATAAGGGCGAATCTTACGAGATAAGATGGCATCGTATATTTCCTTTTGTTGTAAAGTCAACGGCGCATACAGCAAGTATTCCTTTTTCTTTGGAAGGTCATATTCAACTAGTAGAGAAGATGTGTTAAAATCATCTCGCCATGCGAGAAGCTAAAGCACATTTCCTTCGCTCACCATCACTCTTCAATCGGCGTAATAAAAATGGTCTCAGAATCTTATGCAAATTACTTATGATCTCATTCGATTGTTCCTTGGCTAAAATCCGATTCTCTCCATCTTGTTCGTGAAGAGCAGAGAAATCAAACCTGTAAAATTTATATGTGAATATGGATAAAATCTTTCAACTAAAGATGAAAATTAAATAACATGCACACCAATCTTGAAAGCTATCCAAGTCGTCAAATATATCGGGTAAAAGGAAATTCAACAAACTCCATAATTCGGCAAGATTATTCTAAAAAAGTTCACAAAATAAATCAATGGATTGTGATCCAATAAAAAAAGAGAAAACGTTTTGTTCAATGCACGCACTGACAAATACCTGGAGAGGAGTTCCCGTTAAGAGCAAACGATTAGCGGATTGATAACTTTTTAGTTCCCTAATAAGCTTACAGTTTAGGTTTTTGATACGATGACCTTCATCAACTATGATATACTTCCACGCAAATTTCTAAGATGAAAGATCCCTTAGAATCATCATAAAAACAAAAGAAAAGCACCACCAAAGGCATAAGACTTAAATACTTGAAGATATTTGCGATCATTCATTACGATCTCATAACTTGTGACAACAATGGGAAAAGTGTGATCCAGCTTTTTTAGTCTTCGACTCCTTATATGTGACCGTTGTTCTGGAGTGCCATGATACAATACACATGGTAATGTCGGTGTGAATCTGTAATCAGGAAAGGAAAATCAGTATCAATTGCGTGTATGTTTGAAAAAAAAAAAAGCATACTAAAGAAATTACCTGTGAATTTCACTAATCCAATTTGCCAAGGTCGAAAGTGGTGCGACGATTAGGAATGGGCCATAGATTTCGCGTTCCCATAGGTAGGCAAGAAATGCAATTGTTTGCAAGGTCTTTATCAAAAATATTCTTTAAATACTAAGTTTATTAAAATAACATCACGTGCATAAATGAACTCATCACACCTTTCCTAAACCCATCTCATCGGCTAAAATGCCGTTTAATCCATTGTCGTACAGACTGACTAGCCATTCTACGCCTGTCAACTGATATTCCCGAAGTACACCCCCTGTAACTAATCCTGGTTGACGAGCGGAAATGTTCAAATTTGACTTTGGTGCGGTGTCAACGGTAGGATTAGGGAGCTCATCATCATCTGCATTAACTGTTATTTCATCTTTCTTTACAGGAGTTGGTGAAGAATCAGAATTTTTACGCCTCTTGTTAAGATCCTGATAAAACCAAAATTAAGCATTAGAATCGATCTATTTCTTGACTTGTTGACATTTCAAAAAAAAATTTTTTTATTAACCTCCAAATAATCCGAAATCCTATAATCCGCATCATTGGCCTTTCTTTTCTTAACTGCGCCACTTTTCTTTTTGGTAGCTACTTGTTTAATGGAAGGATCCGCATTTGTTGATTTTGTATTAACCCTTGATGATCTTCGGGTTGGTCCAGCTGCTATTTTTTCCACTTTCTCTTTGGCATGCACGCGTCTTGTTTCTTCTGCTTGGGCGCGTTCGCGTTGCTCTTGCTGCTGTCGCTCCATTTTAGTGGCCAAGAATTGGGCATACATGGATGACTTTTCTAACAAGAATTTCAGACGCTGAACGCGTTGTTTGTCAACAAGCGCATCATAATCAGCTACAGCCTATTTTGAACATAAAAGATTATTGGTTAATATTGTCATGTGCACTGTCGCGTTTGGATATGGCACATGATATTACACGATCTGTAAGCTAACAGTACTATGGAGAACTATATTTAATAATATAGATTATGCATGACTCGCAAAAGTATGCACTATTTTTGTATAAATCAAAAAAATTTTATTGTGTATATGACACTTAAAATTTTTACTGTACTCTTCTCGCTTGAGGAGAACGCGTCTTTTATTTAATAGAAACTTTTTTTTTTATAGACAGATAAAATAATGCATTGTTTTAAACTCTAAATACCTTTTCTTTTAATACTTTGAGATTTTCTTTTTCGTTTTCAATGAGCTTTGTCCCATCTTCCTTTATACCTTCGGTGACCATGGGCTCATCGGTAGGAGTATGTACTGAAGAATCAGTGCTCATAAAAGATGGCGAGTCCTATTATCATTGCACAAGCGTGTTATTTCTTATTGTGTTTTACATTAATACTTCCATGCTCGAAAAGTTGAAGCCAAGCAAAAAAAAGTTTATTTCAATCAGACGCGACATGACTGACATTTTGAAGGACGCGTTTTCTTACTTTGTCAAGCGGTGGAGTTAATACCTCGGCAAAGTCATTTTTGATACTATGCATTTTCAAATTTTTCTTCACCTGCTCAGAACTTGAATAGTCGGTGTCGTGTAGAAACTTACAAACTGTCGAGAAAATTTTGAAATATATATTTTTTTCTTTAAAAAAAAAGGATTCGCGTCAGATAACCACGGAGTCTGAAAATAGGGGAAGGTGGTTGAACAATCAATGAGCTGTGAGCTTATTTATATATATGTATATATAGTCTTTTTTATTGTGATTAAATTAAGGAAGGATGTTATGACTAATGTTTCCTTTTCAAGAATAAAATCACACATTTATGAAAGCTTGTATCATTATTGAACCAAAAATGAACAATTTGTGATAATTGGATAACTCGGAAAATGATAATTGATAACGTAATAAAATATTATAGACAGGAAACCAACAACAGTTGAAGAAATAGCTTTATCTATTGCGTATTTGTGATGTTGTATATGAAGAAGACAAGACACCTTTCGAATTAATTTATAGTATACGTTTACGTAATAGCTATTACTAAGAAACGACTCCTTCATCTTACTGTAATTATAAATTTTTTATATACAGTACAATATTAAAATTAATGTAATAAAAAATAATTAATAATAATAATTTTTTTTTTCAAAGGTAAAGAGGCATCGATGCCAGTTTTATTAATATTAAATTACACTATACATCTAAATAGTCTTATTTATACTATACATGCTAATATTATTATTAACTGTAAATTTAATTAAATCCATTTATCTTTATTTAACTTTAAATAATATTTTCTAAGAAATAAAAATATTGCATTAATTTTAAATCATTCAATCTATATTATTTAAATATAGCTTTGCTATATTGAAAATTTTATATAAAATATTGTTTTAAGAAATCGATTTAAAAATATTTTAATTATTATTATTATTTATATTAGAATTAATTTCTATTTAATGTTATAAAGTTTATTATAAGATTTATAGATCTACAGTATAATATAATAGTTAATACTTTCAAATTTCTATCACAAAATATCAAGTTTAATTCTAAAAACAATTGAATTAATTTAATATAATAGTTGATATTATGATTTGTTAAGTACTATTTTTTATATAAAAAAATTTTTAAAGGGATTTTTTTAATAGGTAAACATTATTTTTTTATTTGATTTATAATATATACAGTATATCAAAATATATATCATAAAGAAACAACATCTCTTATATACAAAATATAGCAAATTTAATACTAGCCTGTCTATTTTACAATATTTAACTAATATTAAAAAAATTTTCAAAAACAATATTAAAATATTAGATAAAGGAGTAGCAACTATACCTATTTATTTAACAAATTTTATAAAATCTTTTAAATTTTGAAAATAAAATATAAAAAAAAAAACAATAAATAAAAATATATACAATAATAAAATAACCAGAGCTGAAACTAAATCAAATAAACAATAAGATTTTTGATAATAAAAATTATATTTCCAGAATAATCTCTTGTTTAATTGTAAAAATTAGATCTATTAAATTCTTTAATTGTTGATATATACTTTGATAACAAAGAAAAAATAGTATAATTGATATTGTTTAAAGTTATTGTTATTATTATTATTGTTATTATATTAAAAAACCAATTTGAATAAATTCAGTTTTTGTTTTTATATTTTAATAAAATCTAATTAAATGATTGAAAAGCAATGATTATCTGAAGAAAATAAATTGATTTTGGTTTTTTGAGTAAAAATTTTTGAAAATTTTGAAATGATATAGTAGATATTACTATAGTAATATTATATATAAGATTGATTTAAAACAAATATTATCATATACCACTGCATACAATACCCCGGGTATTTTATTAGAAAGGAGGTAGTATTAGTAGCAGGGTATATCATTACTATAAAATTCAAAATATAATACTAGTCTTACTTATTATTATATTAATATACCCGGGTAGTAATCAATTATCAAGCAACAATTTTCTTGAATACTAC